GAATGTACAGCGCTCTCTTCCACCTTCAATACCACGACTGAGGTGCCCTTGAGCAAGGCACCGAACCCCCAACTGCTCCCCGGGCGCCGCAGCATAAATGGCTGCCCACTGCTCCGGGTGTGTGTTCACGGTTTGTGTGTGTTCACTGCTGTGTGTGTGCACTTTGGATGGGTAAATGCAGAGCACTAATTTCAGGACAGATATTCTTTCCACTACAAAAATGCAGTGTGGTGTCATGCGTTTATGTCTACCTCTGTATGTGCTTTCAGTGATCTGACCACAAAATATTTTAGATCCCTTTAACTTGTGTTTAGCGTTGTCTAGTTGTAATCTGATCACCAAAAAGCATTTAAAAACCAGGTGGAAACAGGCTCTTCTACAATAAGTACAGCCTGTTTATGATTAAATCCACATGAATAACAAATTTAAGTATAATACCATTTATAAAATGTATATTGGTATTCATGATAAAATGGTCAAGTGTCCACATGGTACTCTTGTGTTTTGTTCTTCTACTGTGGTGTTGCGAAATCAGAATAAGAATGTATGAAACAAATACATCAGTTGTTACCTGGGTGATGCCGTAATACTGTGTGCAAACACTGGAGCGTGTGCATTATTGTGGATGATCAGTTAGTCCAGTTTTTAGAATTTTTATTTTTTTTTGGTTTTTGCTTTTCAGAAAGTATACATCCCATGACACAAAACAGAAAACCAACAGAAAGTGCTGAGAGTGGTTTACCTTAATATGCCTTAATATAAAAAGCAATATACTGATATGATGTAGTTATAATAATGTTCTTGAGCATAATATACCTTGCCAACAATGAGGTTTGTAGAAAAACGCTGAACTGTATTATAAAACCATCACCATATAACTACAGGTGTTTTTCCAGCAGGTGTTAGCTAAGAATGCTGAGAATTCTGGGCCGGGAACAGTTTAGAGAAAACATTAAAAGTCCTCTTAAACTCTAAATGTGTCCTCTCCTACCCCTGGAGTGTCAAAAAGAGAATCCACCCACAGATATTGCAACAGATCTTGGAGAGATTAAGAAGAGTTGAAGTAGATCTGTTCACATCATAAGAAATCATGCAGTGTTGTTTTTCTCACTGAGGGAACATGATGTGCCACTAGCCACTGACACGTCTGATCTGCTTGTTCTCTCAGTCTATGTGTTTCCCAAGTATATGTGGCAGTTATCTGTATGCCATGTGATCTTTGAAATTGGTAAGTGCATGGTACACCTTCATATGCCTTGTCTTTTAGCCCATGAATCCGACATGGGATTTATTTAATTGTCATCTTGCTGTGTATTAACAGCTGGCAGTATAAAAAAGGATTTGGTAGTTTATTTTCACAGGTTTGGTCCTATAGTCCACCATGCCACATAGAAAATCATACAGCACAGTCTTCAGTGAAGTCACTCCCACAGCAAATCACCAATAAATGCTGGAAGTATTTCCATCAAGAGGCCACTGTGGTTCAAGCCAGCAGGAGTCAAGTGTGGTGTAATAACAATTTCTGCATGACGCTGTGGTAAAGATGGATTTTGTTGAAGAGAGTGAAGACGTCAGTGATGCTGAATCCTGCAAGTTGAATGATGAAGAGGCTGAAGAACAAAGAGGTTGGTGTTCATTTATGATTGTTCAGTAATTACTTTCAGTTTACGAAATTTGCCCTTTAAATGTCCTTTAATTTAAAATTGGTTCCTCTTGAATTTCTTTTTGATATGTTACTATGTTTATTTTAGAACTGATGGAATCGAACAAGGAATGTCAAGCACAGAATAAAAAGGAGGAGAATCAGGAAGATCCCAATTCTGTAACTGGAGAAAACTAACTAAAGTGAATACAAAAGACTGAAATACTGTTTCAAAACTTAGTTTCTGCTTCAAGACCACCTAATGTCAGTGAATTAGCATTTTCATTTAGCCTGTATGCCATTTAACACATTAATCTGCAAAGACAAATCACATGTGGAAAAACAATTTGTGACGAACATTCATTTTTTTTCAAATAATAAAAAAATGCACTCATTTTTAAAAATGAAAAGTTGACGTGTCATGCCAAATATTCATTTCTTGTGTGTATCACCATCAGTAAATAGTTAGCGTATGTGAGACTGATTTGGAGAATGATAACTTCAAGCTAATGACATGCTGTACACGAAGAATTAGTGCAGTGAAAGATTTGTTCCATTGATTCACATCAAAATCTTGTGAGTTCATAAAATCTTTCTGAGCAATTCATTTTTGTAAATGATTTTTTATGCATTAGTTTTAGTGCAATGTATATAATTGTCTAAATAAAAGACAATCCTTGACATGTATGATGGGCTGTGCCTTTATTTTCGACCTTTGAAGTAGAAGGACCTTTTATTATTATTTTTTCAGTATTTTCTGTCTGTGGTATCTGGTATCGTTATTGAGAGAACTGTGATAAATATTTGATTATTTTTCCCAACCCCCAGAAGCCTCAAAACCACAAAACGTACTGAGAGCAGAGAGCAAATAGTTTCAATGAAGATTTTCAATATTGTATTAACATTGTGTACAGCATGGTTGAGGTACACTTGATGGCAGAATCAAAAGCTGTGCCTAGGTAGTCTGATAAGAAACCAGCACTGTACTGGTGTGTATCACTTTGCAAATGGAGCCTGTAAGTCCCATTTTACAACACCAGATGGAGCAACTGCAGAGTTTCATTGCTTAAAGGGATAGTTCACCTAAAAAAATGAAAATTCTTTAATCATTTATTCACCCTTATATCCTTCAAATAATGTCATTGTGTTATTTGTCCATACAATGGAAGTCAACGGCCAGGTGAACAAAACAGTTTGTGTTCTTTTGTGTTCCACAAGTCATACAGGTTTGGAACAACATGAGGGTGAATAGATGATGACATTTTTCTCAGTCATGGTCTTGAAGGTGGAAGAGAGCACTGTATATTCACTCCCCCCACCTCCAATCCCTGCCGGTACGAGACTCAAACCCACAACCTTTGGGTTATGAGTCCGACTCTCTAACCATTAGGCCACGACTTCCCCTAATGGTTTATACATCTGGCCCCTGCAACTAGGCGCCATTGGAATACAATGAACCAGTGAGGCTGTTTTCATTTTTTAAGGTGAGGAAGCACAGATGTTACTTGCCAATGGCGAAAATGTGTATTTGGATCTAATTCATTATTATATTGTTAGCAATGTTGCTCCAAAAGCAGTAGGCTTAACAAACTACTACCAAATGGTGAATGTACCAAACAAAATAAATGACCAAGCTACATAATTATATTTTTCGATTTCTAACAACAAAAATAAGATTTTATTACCAAGCCCTCTGCATCCATCTACCTTCATGTGAAATATTTTCAAACACTGTTTTGTATATCACAGTTTCAGTTACTGGCTGTTTTAAGGACTCATCCATCTGAAAGCTCTCCCAATCATAGTATATAGAAGCCAAGTGGGGCAAAAATACATTAATTAAAAGGCCAGTGTCAAATAATCAGATATTTTTTCTAAACGCAAACAGCACTCATCATGCTCGCATACACTGCCAGTGAAGAACAGCATTCAGGCAGGTCCCAAAATGTAATTTTAGAGGCTGTTTAATGAATATTGATCTTAGCTCAGTATCTGATTTTTAGTGCTGTTTAGGCATGTGCATATCGTATAACCTTTAAAGAAGAAGGGCCTTTAAACATTTGTTCCCATGAGCATACATTTAAAAACTGATGCAAGAATACATCTCATCTTTTTTTTCTCTCTGATGAAGGTGGATGTATCATCGAAAACAGAAAAGAAGTCATGTATAAAATCATTTATCTTTCATGCATTTCTACAGAATGCATCAATACCAGTAAATAAAGTCATAACATGCACTTTAAAAAATTAAGTCAGTTATTAGCGGTTCATCCAGCTTTTCAGTTGTTTTATATTAAATATAAGATATGTATAAATAAAAATGAAAATAGTACACTTGCTTTAGGTTCACTTTAACTTGATTATGTGTGTTGAGCATGTTTCAAAAGAATCTATTTATGCAATTAGCATTTCACTGGTTATTGCATTTTAAATGCCATGAGAATCTATAATATATAAGCATTTCTTATCTAATGTTTCTTGAAGCCCTGAGAAACAAATAACATGATGCTGTTATGCAGATATAATTATAGGGTATCATAAGGGAAATGGGTAATTAGGGAAGCCACTGTATGCATATGACTTTCTTAGCCTCTATCCCTTTAAGAACAACAAGGAGAGCATGAGTGGGGGAGGGGAATGGGTTGGGGTGGAACAGTCCTGTAATGAGCATATTCTAGAGACACTCAGCATCATATGGCTTCAGACCATCATGGATACCCACCTTTAAATATGCACGTAAACATGAAGAAGGAGAGGACTAAAGAGCAGGACTAACCCGATTTTTGACGCTTTTAACCAGTCTTCCAGGAAAGAAGCTTCATCTCTACACCACAGCAGGAGCGCAGAAGGGAAAAGAGGGAGCAGCATTAGGAAAAATGCTGTGCCAGATTGATCTCATTTAACACATAAGCAAGGAAATACTGTCATTTTATTTGGAAAACATGATCTAGAGGGAGGCCTAAACACCATCCATGCTTTGAGGCTATGGATGCTCTCCCACATTTCTGCATTTTTGTGAGCCGGAGCGGTACGTTTGGGGGCCGTGTAATGTCTGATTGAGTGTATCAATGCTGCTGCTGTGTGGATCTCTTTGGCTATGGAAAAAAACTAGGCCTTGTTTGCCTGCTGATCTCCACGCAGGGAACGCGTGTGTGCCTCAGCCTGTTGGGACCGTGCAGAGAGGAAGGGAGAAGCTCACCATCTGCATGCCAGTTGGAAGTAGCATGCACAATAAAGACATCCATTACCAAAGGCCATGCACAAACAGGCAGGAGCTATAACACTAGGACAGTAGCCTGGTAGATTCTTCTTCACCCCTTTAAATCGTCTGGACTTAAAAGCACTGTTTTTTTCTATATGTTCAAAATCTATTTGAAGGACAGGAGGAATATTGCTGTAACACTTCCTGTATAGTTGATCGCTGTCTTCCTTTTTTGCTCACCAATTGCAATTTTTCCACTTGACATTCTAAAGATTTGCCAAAACCTGTTTCATGCATGTCCACTGGAGGCAGGTTTGACTTTGATGATGGGGGGTCGTACTGTGGAGGGTGGGAACAGGGCAAGGCGCATGGTCGAGGGGTCTGCACGGGGCCCCAGGGCCAGGGGGAGTATGCGGGGGCCTGGAGCCATGGATTCGAAATTCTTGGAGTTTACACTTGGCCCAGCGGGAACAGTTACAAAGGAACCTGGGCGCAGGGCAAGAGGCATGGCATTGGCGTGGAGAGCAAAGGGAGGTGGGAGTACAAGGGGGAATGGACACAAGGGTTCAAAGGCAGGTACGGGAAGTTGGAAAGCACTAGCAGCGGTTCCCGTTATGAAGGCACCTGGAGCAACGGCTTACAGGATGGATACGGCTCAGAGACCTATTCGGACGGAGGTCAGATTCTAAAAGTATTTACTGTGTTCTGGTAGCAGGAAAGAACGAATGTTAAATCACTAACCATGTTAAATGAATAGGCCCATCTGCTTTTAAAATGCTTCCCGTATCTTTGGGAAGTTGTTCTGTTGACGTCAAAGCATGTGCTTCCAATCAAGCCTACAGTATTTTGGCACACATTCATCTGTCATTTGATAGAAGCTACACTGTAAAAAACGACCGTGAATTTAACGGTAAAAGACTGTAAAAATGCTACAGTAAAAACCTGTTAAATGGTTAACGGTAAATTCCCCTACTATATACGGTGAAAAGCTGTATTGGACATTACATGTATTGGACTTTAATTTCACAGTAGTATACCATTTTTGGAAGTGAAAAAGACTGTATAATTTACAGTGAATAACCGTAAATTCCCATTCCCAGAATTCCCCAAAAATGTTTTTTGTTAAAATAACTATGTTTCTTCTTAGTTTTTTCTTATCAGTTTTGTATGTTAGAGTTGTGTGTTACACCTAATGTTGTTAAATGAATGTTTATTGCATTATTTCAGTTTCATGTGTGTTACCATGGTGGTGTTTAGCGTTTGTGTGAATGACACTGTGCACCTTCCATATATGTTATTATTTAAAAGCTGCTTGTGATGGGCTTTGATTCATCATGTGACTTTCTTTTCACCACCTGCATTTGGTGGTTATCAGTGTATTACAAAGGTACAAAACAGATTTCAGTACTTCAATAAGGTTGGTATATTAACATTATATCAGTTAATGAAATTACGGTATTTAACTGTAAATTTAAGTTAAAACCTAAAACGTTGCTACCATATTTTTTTATGATAAAATTCCGGCATCCACAGCTGTCGTTTTTTTACCGTAAATTTGGCAGATGCCTGAAGCAAAACCAGTGGAAAACCACTCATCTTTGCAAGTAGCAACTTATATTATATGATCTGTAAGTTGACAAGAAACAGCACTTGCATACTTGGAGGAGAAAACAGCCAGGAATTAGTCTATTAAATAACAGAAATGGAAAATGAAATAAAAGAAAGCTCTGCTTCCACTTATATAACATTGAAGTCTAATCGTCTGCTTTGCTTCAGAGAAGTTATGAAACATTTTAGGCTATACAGAAAATAATAGCAAAATAATAATTAAAACATGCTCTATAGCATGTGCTTTAAAGCATAAAATGTCACCATATGAACTCATTTACCACGCGTATCTGAAGCACAGACGCCTCTGTACAGTAAATTACCATGGAAACCGACCGACAGCAGGTCATTATGTCACAGAGACTCTTCGCTGTGCTCGC